GAATCGGTGGGACCAGATGCCGATGATCACATCTTCACAATTGTTGATAGCATGTCTGATGTCAACAAAAACAGCATCGTGAACGAAAGCTGCGAAGCGTTTCAAATGAATGAGGACGAAGGTGAAAGTTCCGTTGCATCCGTTGAGGAACAGCTTAAGAAAGAAATGACAGTCTATGAGGTTTGACTCCTTGCAATTTCATATTTCTTTTTCTCTAATGCTCAACATACCTGTTTATCCACTCCCCATTTCTTTGTTCTGTGATCTGACCATCATTTTACTCGTCATTATGCACTGCAGAAATTCATCATAGGAATGTTAACCAATTTCGGCAATATGACACTGGACAAAATACATAACACTTTGAAGGTAGACACAAAATTTTAAAATCTCGTCTACTTCATGTTTCTACTATTAACATATTTTCTACTCATCGGTTTCTTCTAATATTATTTGTTCCAGATGTTCTGTGCCGAGCCATCGTATGATAAATCACTGCAGCAATTGCAGAGTTTTCTTTCGGGTCTAGTATCAGATGAAAAGCTTGAAATGAGAGATGGATTGTACTTGCTAAAAAAGTAACTGCTACTTAGGGTGACACATTATGCTGTTAGATTAAGGATGACAGGCAGTCAAACCAGTATGTATTCCTTTCTGGCAAAACCATTCCGATCAAATATATTCAATTATTCTTGTGCCAGAAACCATAAGCTCCACGATACTCGCGCCCGAAAAACTATTGGTACTCACTGTCCGATAAAAATAGCAGATATGGAGTGTGACGTGGGACTATTCCTGTAAATAATCTTTGCACCTAGTGATCATTCATTACTCTGATAACTTCTCAACAAACTGGACAGCAGTTTGGTGCATACACATCATGCGGGCAAGGGCATGTACTCCTCCGTTCCTAAATATAATTCTTTTTAGAGATTTCAAATAGACTATCACATATGGATGTATATAGATATATTTTAGAGTGTAGATCCGTATGTAATCACTTGTTGAAATCTCTAAAAAGACCTATATTTAGGAACGGAGGGAGTACAATGGTGCTATAGGAGTATCATGCAGGATAAATGATAAGGTGGAGGAGAGAGAAATCATAAGAAAAAATTTATCTCTTATTTAAGAGATGGTCTCTTAGCATAATATGTCTCACCATGTTTCTAGGAATAGCTGATTATTGAAAATAAGGCTAAGAGGTAAACATTTTTTATTGTTATCTCTAAATTACATGGAAGACTTAAGATAAGATTGTCTTATCAACCGCCGTACATGCCCTAAGGGAAATGTGGAGCAAAATAGGGGCCATCCGTCCACCCCCCTTTCTCAAATAACTAAATCGTCGTGTTTAATTGGATCGCATGGATTACACCATTCTGCCAAAAGGTGTAATACGCTGCTATAACTCAAAGTCTGAAGAAGGCAAACACAAAACTTTCAAAATAACAACTAAGGTTACAAATACATTACACTTAACATCATGATCACATTTGATTTTTCTAGTTGCAATACAATTGCCATTTGATGCTGAAATACACTATGCCAGACATTTGACCATGTAAGGCCCCTCAAGTTCATAGCCCAGCTTGCGGTAGTAGTGGCGGGTTCCAACTCCTGAGATGACGGCCAGTTTCTTTGATCGATGCTCCTTACGAGCAATTCTCTCTGCTTCTTCCATCAGGAGCGTCCCATACCCCTGGAAATAGGTGATGGATGGAACAAATGTTAGCCAGCTGAAACAATCCAGCAGCAGAGTCATGGTAAATATCTGAATAATTAACTGAGAAAGGGTAGCCAACAATTACACCATGGTAAAAAGCCTTAGTGTCATGCTTAGCAAGTATTCATTCAGTCACTGTACACACACTTGTGGGTCCTAATTTTTACTATTCTGAGCACGCATAGTTGTTCAAGTAAGAGATTAACCTGGTGTTGCAGTTTCTCTGCATCACGACCATGCACAGGGACCGCTGTTCCGTAGACATGAAGTTCACGGACAATTGAACACCTCCCTACGAGTTCAGGGCCTGTAACATTGCGGCCACATTTACGCAAGCGCAACAGGCCAATAAGGATATCCTGTAGAATTTAGCAAAGAGAAGTGTGAGTAATGTTACACAAGATCAAAAGGGTAAGAAACCCAGTGATAAACTCTATGCACCAGTAGCAATCAAGTACACCATACAAGCAGAACAGAGATTAAAACTTTCTTGGTATAAGTGAAACCAATAAGGCAATAACTATGTGGATAAGTTCAAAAACATCCCACCTATGTAAAGGAAATTGACCATAATTACATTGGAAAAATATGCCTATTCAGGAACACAGCATAAACCATAGCATATTTTCACATCCCAGCAGTGAAATGAATAGGATGGCAAGCTGTTGAGTACCTGTCGTGTATCCTCATACGAGAGAAAGGTCTCCCAACCGTCATTTGCAGCGTAATCACGCCTGACAAGCTCAACTTCATCAGGCCTGATCTTGTGATGGATATCCTGTGTGGAGAAGCACAACAAGAATAATGAGGACACATCTTTAATCAATTATAAGCACATGGCAGTGACTTCACAGAACCCCATATTTACCTGAATTCCAGCCTCACGGGTTCTGACATCTCTGCATTTCAAGCCCAGGTCTTCCATTCGAGCCAAAGCAAGCTCACGCAGGTTACCTTTCTCAACACCAGAAGTAACAAGAGGCATAGGGATATCTCTCTGGACCCGATAGACTCGTGTCCATGGTGGTACCATCGACAGAATCCTTGCTACAATATCCACTAGCAGCTCTGGTGGGTAGTTTCTATACCTGCAACACAACAGATGTCACCAGTATATAAGTTCTCAATACTCACTCTAAAACTATAGAGAAGCAAAAGACTGACCATAAGATCAAGCAGGAAATAAAATATCAAGCGCTGGATAAATATAGTACCTTCCAGTTTTCCATAGCTCATAAAGACCAGTTCCACGAATCACAAGAGTTGGATAGATCTTTAGACCATCTGCTCGGAATGCTGGATTTTCAAAAAATTCTCTGAAACTTTCCATATCCCTCTCAACTCCAACATTAGGTAAATCTGGCATCATGTGCGCAACCACCTATCAACAGGTAAATCATCATGTATTAGGACAACTGCACAAGTCATAACTCAAGCTAAGAAGACATCTCATTTTCTTAAATGAAGCTAGCGTTCAAGCAGCAAGGAAGGCAATTCAACAGGAGGAATTTGAGGGCGGTGAACAATAACCTTAAAACCAGCATCTTTTGCTAAAGAAAAACAATCAGCAACAGCAGCTACTGTATGGCCTCTGTTTGTGTCACGTGCAACATCCTCATATGTACTCTGCACACCAATTTCTAAGCGGGTACATCCATAAGATAGCATTTGCCGCAGATGAGGCCCCAGGCAATAATCAGGTCTCCTGGAATAAAAAGACTAATTAGATTAGATGTTTCATGGGAAAAATCACAAGGAATTTTCAAATGCAACCAAGAAGCATGGACAGATGTTGAACGACCCTTACGTCTCAATTGTCATACCGATACATTTGACAGCACTATGTTCTGAATAACAAACCGCCTCCTCAACATTAGCAGAAGTATGTCCCGATAAAGCATCATGGAGATTTCTGATGAAATAATCACGATAATCAGCCGGTAACGACATGAAAGTCCCACCCATCAAAATGAACTCGACCTGCAAAAGAGTATATTTGAATTACTTTGCACTTATAGTGCATCAAATATAACTAGATTGAGCATGAAGCCACTCAAATCAAGATGAAATAGTCTCTTGGGCTAGGGACAAACCTTATCCGCACTATGTCCGAGCCTTTTGAGCTGATCTATCCTGCTTCTGGCTTGCACATATGGATTGTACCTACAATTGCAAATTCAGATTAGTAAATACATTTTTAAAGCATATCTACAAAGCAGTTAAAATGCTAATAGTGCTTGTATGGCTACATCAGTCAACACAACCTGTGGCCATTAGATTTTCATGTGCAGAGATCAAATAGATCACTAGTGAACAACTAGAGAACCTTGTTTGCACTAATAATTAATTAACAGTCCAATGAGACCTTGCCCCTCATCCGCCTTACAGTCACATAGGTTTCAATTGCAATGCAAACTGAAGCATGCCTTTTGTATTTCTAACAATGTGTTAACAGCATCAGTAGTAGTAAATCACCTTGCCCGGATGGCGCGCATGCTGGTGGGCTCGTATCCAGTGTAGGACTGGGTGCTGTACTCGAAGTCGGAGTCGGGGCCTCCCGGGCAGTAGACGCAGATGTTCCCCGTGGTGGCGATGTGGGGGCACCGGTGCGGCTTGGACATCACGGCGACCACCGCGATGCCCGACGCCGTGCGCACGGGCTTGGCGCGCAGGCGGGGCAGCAGCGCCGCGCGGTCCGCCTCCGGCACGGCGGCGATCATCTCCACCAGCTTGGGCGCGCGGGCGAGCCCGTAGCGGCGGCACGCGGCCGACTTGAGCGCGTTGAGGTCCACGTCCTCCCCGCGGCGCGAGAGCTCGCCCATCTCCGACACGATCTCCGCGATGGCCCGCACCCTCGCCTCCTCCTCGGAGAGCCCCGCGGGCAGCACCACGCCCCCGCGCCCCGGCGTCGGCTTCCGGCGGCGCGGCTGGTCGGCCGCGGCTGCGGCTACGGCGGCGGCCATCGGGAAGGGTTTCAGCGAAGGTTTTTTTTTGGCCTCGCAGGGACGAAACTGGAGCTGGGCTCGGTCGGTGCCTGGCCTTTGCCTTCTCTACCGGCCGGTTCGACCATTCTCCGCCCAGCACAGCCGTCAGATCGCGAACGGACGGGCGGGATTAATACACGTGGAACCAGAATGTAAACAAGTATAGGCCAGTAATTAAATTCTTGAGCTCACGGGGAAATCCTTCCTCCTCTGCTCTGCTCTGCTCTCTCCCCTCATCTATTGCGGCAGAAGCAAAGCGCTGCGAGGCGAGGCGAGTCTGCGGCGGCGAGATGGACGGCGGCGGTGAGGAAGGGAAGCAGCAGCCGCAGCTGGTGCTGGCGCACAAGCTGTTCCTCCTCTCGCAGCCAGACGTGGACGACCTCGCCAAGGTCGGCCTCCGCGACGACGTCCTCGCCGCAGTGAAATCCGACGGTACCGAACCCCGCCTCCTCCTCGAATCTGCTTCCTCGCCCGTGGGTCGGTTTTGGGGGGTCTGATTCGATCCGATGTGCTTGTTTTCCCCAGACATGGCGGCGCTGTACGAGTCGCTGGCGGCCGACGGCATGCTGGAGATGGACGCGGCGCTGCTCGCGGAGATGCGCGGCCGGATCGAGGAGGAGACCAAGAAGTTCGACGAGAAGTGAGCGGATCTCTCCTGTCTACCCTTTTTCACGCTCGAATTTCAGGCTACTTTCTAGGGTTTCAAATACTACTGCCGTCGATACATCTAACATAGTTTAACCACTCCAGATAGATTATGTGATAATTTAGCCCTGAGAAACCCGCAGCGTTGCGAGCTCCATACTGTAATTGTGGAATTCTTCATTTGTTCTTGATGACACACCTGTTGTTTTTTGAGCATTATAATAACTAGACTGTAATTGTGGAGTACTAACTAGTATTCACGCTTCTAATATTACCAAATTTGGATGTCTTGCAAAATATTACTCCCTCTGTCCCATAATGTAGTGTCAAAAAACTTCTTACATTATGGGACAGAGGGAGTAGTACCAAAATTTCTTTTCCTATATTATTGATATAATGAGATATGAAGGGAATGCTAAAGTGTGCTTGTTTAAGGTTACTGATGGACAACCATCTAGATCAGTAGTGGATCAGCGACTGATAGTAAATAGAGAATTGATGTGTGCACAAACAAATCACTGATCTCGAGAAAGGTTTGCAGTTTAAGCAGTCAGAAGTTTTTCTGCAAAGATTGTTCCATTCCACCCAAATGAAAATGTGTGCTCTTGTTATCTAGACTCTGAACTTCTGAAGTGTATTGTTTCTTTTTCCCTCCTTCTGTTTCATCTGATTTCACATTGCGTTGTGTTCGTTCTTGCCTTCTACTGATTAATATCACCTGTGTATGCATAAAGGATCGCGGATGCTGAAGAGAATTTGGGTGAGAGCGAAGTGCGTGAAGCCCATCTAGCCAAATCCTTATACTTCATAAGGGTTGGCGAGAAAGTATGTATACATATCTAATGTCTTTCACCATCTTAGGTTGTCGTTGCATGTTTTAATCATTTTATTCTGACCTAAATATCCAAAATTTCAGGAAAAAGCGCTGGAGCAGCTTAAAGTTACTGAAGGCAAAACTGTAGCTGTGGGGCAGAAGATGGACCTTGTTTTCTACACTTTACAGATTGGCCTTTTCCATATGGACTTTGATCTCATCTCAAAGTCCGTTGACAAGGCCAAAATGTAAGTATGAAGTCTTGTAGTTTAGCTATTTGCTACTATACTTGTTTTGCATTATGATGTGTATAATACTGAGCAACTTCCTTTCCTGGTCGAAGCTTGTTTGAAGAGGGTGGTGATTGGGAGAGGAAGAACAGATTGAAAGTGTACGAAGGCTTGTACTGCATGGCCACTAGAAATTTCAAGAAGGCTACTAGCTTATTTTTGGATTCTGTTTCAACTTTCACAACTTATGAGTTGTTCCCCTATGATACGTTCATCTTTTACACAGTCCTTACAAGTGTTATCACATTGGACCGCGTATCTCTGAAACAAAAGGTACATATTCATCTTGTCTCCTTCAAGTCTGCTTTGTTAGCTTGAATGTAGATATAGGATACCCAATTTAACAATAATGTTGGCAGGTTGTAGACGCACCTGAGATCCTGGCTGTAATTGGCAAAGTACCTCACCTCTCGGAGTTTCTCAACTCCCTCTACAATTGCCAGTACAAGTCATTTTTTGTGGCATTCTGTAAGTGAATGATCGCTTTATCCTTTCATATATTCTTGCATTTATTCCGATGAGCAGTAATGCTTGTTTGGTTGTTCTGGTGGGGTTAGCTCCTTGGATTTCTCATATATAGTCCATGTTTGCTTTCAGCTGGCCTGACGGAGCAGATCAAGTTAGACCGATACTTGCAACCGCATTTCCGCTACTTCATGCGTGAAGTGCGCACTGTTGTCTACTCACAGTTCCTCGAGTCATACAAGAGTGTGACGATGGAAGCAATGGCTGCCTCATTTGGCGTGACTGTTGATTTCATAGACCAGTAAGAATTTTTGTTGATGTTATTTGGCATGTCATGCATCATCTACTGGTGCTTATACCGTGTATGATAAATTGATGTGGCTAACCTTTTTCGTCCCGACGCAGGGAATTGTCACGCTTTATTGCTGCTGGGAAACTTCACTGCAAGATTGATAAGGTTGCTGGTGTCCTGGAGACGAACCGACCTGATGCACGTAATGCCTTCTACCAGTCGACCATCAAGCAGGGAGACTTCCTGCTGAATCGCATACAGAAGCTGTCGCGAGTCATTGACCTGTAGGCTTTCTTTGTGTTGGAGGTTTGGAGCAGCTCCTTGGCACAACCCTACCCTACTCAAGCTTCCCTTGCAAGACTTTGCTTTGGCTCCTGTGGAGTACTGGCAGTATTGCATTTTGCGTTTCAGATCGGTCAAAAGGAAAGGGGTAGTTTTTTTTTCAATCTGAGGATTTGACTTGTAACCTAACTATATGGATCGAGGGAATTGCAGACCATTGTTTCTAGATGGTTGTTTCCACGATGAATTCATCCATTTTTTATAAAAATTGTGTGACCAGCGTTTTACCTTTCTTCCTTCAAGAAAACGAGCATAATTGCCAACAAATATTTTGTGCTAACTGTTTCTAAAAAAGATGCATAACTTTACTGCACCAGCAAAAGTGAGGAATGCAAGATTGCACAAGCGTTTCTAATTAATATTCCTCTTTCATGACGCCAATACATATCTGACGTTCCCTGAAGTAGGTATTGAACAGATGAAAGTTTTTGTTCGCTTTAAAACACATTCAGTGAACGCTTCAGAATTGCCAGGTCAAACAGATGAATTTACCATGACGTTGAATGAAAATTTGTCATGTTCTAGGGTAAAAATTGCCCCATGTTGTATGTAAAAAATCTCAGAAAATTGCCTTGCTGCATGAGAATAATTGTCATGCATTTTCAAGATATGTCATGATGCAAACATCGAGAATTGCTGGTCCAAAATGAAAAAGAAAATGGCAAGAATTACCATGCTCAGGATTTGCCATGTACTCCCTCCGTTCCTAAATACTTGTCTTTCTAGGCATTTAAAATTGACTCAACATACGGATGTATGTAGACATATTTTAAAGTGTAGATTCACTCATTTTGCACCGTATGTAGTCACTTGTTGAAATCTCTAGAAAGACAAGTATTTAGGAACGGAGTGTCAGGACCCCGACTCGATGTCACATCGATCTAGCCGGTAACACCTCATATCACTTTGCGGCCTCACGCACGGTATCCCCACGGGTGTCGCCTTACCTTTGCCCGGGACCGTTTGCGCCTTTTGGCCCACGTATATGATAGTGTCGCTAGCATCCATATGATAAAGAGCCCGGGCTGACATGACTAGTCGTAAACCCAAAGTGGCACAGACTTACAGGGACAGGCATCCATGACCCAGCTTCGAACGTGTCGGTCATCAGCAAATGGGTCCGGGCTGTAGCACTGGGCTAGCAGGACTCCGGTAAACCGGGCTGTAGCGGGCTAACAGGACTCCGGTACTCAAAGCGTGACATTTCCCCGAAGGGACAGACACAGGAACGAAGAAGGACACATGCCGGCCAGCCTAAGTGTTCCAGAGCAGTAGCAAGCTACCATGGCTCAGCGGTAACACTAGGAGACATTTCCCGGTAAAAGAGGCTACTAAAGATAAACAACTAGATAGTCAGATCCCACACATACCAAGCATTTCAATCATACACACAATATGCTCGATATGTGCAAATACAACGAAGCATCACAACATGACTCTACGACACAAGTACTTTATTCATTAGGCTCCGAGGAGCGAGATATTACAAACATGGGTCTCATGACCCAACACTCAGAGCATACAAGTCAAAGCACAAGCGGAAGCTATCATGTCTGAGTACAGACGTCTATAAATGAAAAAGGCTGAAAATCCTGACTATCTATCAGATCCTGCTGAGGGCACAAGATCGTAGCTGAGGTATCAAGCTAAACGTCGAAGTCCAAGCGGAACTACTAGTGAGACTGAAGTCTCTCTGCAAAATATAAAATAGGCAAACGTGAGTACAAATGTACCCAGCAAGACTTACATCAGATCTATCTACACATGCATCATTATCAACAAAGGGGATGGTGGAGTTTGACTGCAGCAAGCCAGCTTTGACTCGGTGGCTATCCTGAACTACGACTGCAAGTAACTCTTTTGAGGTGGCGCACACGAGTCCACATATTCACCATATCAATACACCACTATGGATCCGCTCCCGTCTCCCTACGAGAACGCCATCCATAGCACTCACGCTTATCTTGCGTATTTTAGAGTATCCACTTTCACTTGTCTATGAACTGATATAAGCAACCCAGAAGTCCTTTTCCGCGGACACGGCTATTCGAATAGATGATGATAACCCTGCAGGGGTGTACTTCTTCATACATGTTTCCACCACTTAGCGTCTGCACACGACATGTGCTCGGCAGACTTCAAGCGAAAGCCGACGTGGGTGTAGACCACGACCTACCTAAACACTCAAGTCTCTAGTCCAGGTTTATCGCCTATTCGGGTTCCATCCATGAGGAGATCCGGCCGGAGTTTCGCTCACAGCCCCAAACGATGTGAACAGGGTTCCCGAGATACCAAACGGGCATCCGGTACACCGTGCCACGTGCCTACCGCATCACAGCCCACCCCTACGGTCAGCGCTGTCCACGGCCTCCAGTAAGCTACAAACACCAGAAACTACTTGCAACTCCTGGACAGAGGACAAGGGTGAATAAGAAGTCGAGCGGGGTCATATTTCAGGGCCCAATGTATGGTAGTAACTGAATCATGGATCACAAACACAGAACTCAGTTCCTGAGGACGGCTGCAATGAGACAACCCACCATGTACTCCTACATGGCCTCTCACCGCTACCTTTACCAAATCGTGTTCACCACTTAGCTCACACACAGTAGGACATGTTCACACACCTCTGATTCATCCCTGATGAATCAGACCTGACTCAACTCTAAGCAGTAGCAGGCATGACAAACAAGCAAGAATGAGTAGGCACAACAGGGCTCAAACAACTCCTACTCATACTAGTGGGTTTCATCTATTTACTGTGGAATGACAGGTCATGCAAAGGATAAAGGGGTTCAGCTACCGCAGCAAGTAACAGATGAATCGGTGTTGTCCTAATGCATTAAAAGAGAGCAGGAGTGAGAGAGTAGGATTGTATCGAAATGAACAAGGGGGGTTTTGCTTGCCTGGCACTTCTGAAGATAACATTGAGTCTTCATCAGTGTCAACGATCACATCATCGGTATCACATCTATCGAGAGGGGACAAATACCGGCAACACAGAAGGAAACACAATCAATGCAATGCACAATATGATGCATGATCATGACATGGCAAAATGAATGTGTTTTGGGCTAATGCATCTAGCAACAAGTTAAATGAAGTTGGTTTGAATACAAGATTCAAATTCAAACTCCATATGTGATTATTTAAATGCCCTTAATTGATTTGTGCTAAACAGCAGCTATAAGTTGTTCTAACATGCATGAAAATGGTACAGATGGATTCCTTGAATTTTTCTGATAATTTTTCATATATAATTTATTTAATTTGGAGTTACGGTTAATTTTCTATGATTTATTGAAGTTTAAACAATTTTCTGGAATTTTCTGATTTATTTTAAATCCAGAAAATCATTTAATGCGTCAGCATGACATCACCTTGACGTCAGCAGGTCAACAGGGCGCCTCCAGGTCAAACCTGACCTGTGGGACCCATATGTCAGCGTCACAGGTTAAACAGGGGGGGTTTATTTTAGTTTAATTAAGGATTAGGGCACTAGGGCCCACATGTCAGTGGCTCTGGGGTTAGATTAGGTGGTGATTAGCTTAAGCTAATCACCTGATGGCGGGGGCCCACCTGTCAGTGTCAGCAGAGGGGGTAGTTAAAATAAAATAACTAAACTAATTAACAGGGGGGGCTGGCCCCACCTGTCATCGACCCAGAAAGGGGGGGGGTCCCGCCGTGGTCAACGTGGTCAGACCCACCGGCGGCTTGACGCCGGCGAGGCCAGACGCGGTGGTGCACGTCGGAAACCAACTACAGGGGCTCTTTTGGCGCGCAGGGAGCAGCTACGGGGAGAGGGTGGAGTGGCGCATCCAACGGTGGCGGTGGCGGAGGCTGGGGTGGCCGGAGCTGCCGGCGGCGAGCTCTTTTGCGGCGGCCGGAGCTCGGGCGAGGTCGGGGTTGGCGTTCGGGGGCACGGGAGGGGAAGCTAGTGGCGGCTACGGGCTCCTGGAGACGTGTTGAGTGCGGTGGTGTGCTCGGCTTCGAGCTGCAACGGCTCCAGCCACGGTGGTGACGAGGCACGGCGGCGGCGAGCTCTCGGGTCCGGCGGAAAGGCGGCTAGGGTACGGGAACGAGCGCGAGGAGGAGGGGGAATGGAAGAGTAGCTCACAGGGGTTGCAACGGTGGCCTCGGGGAGCTCGGGGAGGCACCGGAGCCGACGAATTTGACGAAGATGGCCGGCGGTCCCGAGGTTGAAGAAGCCGGCGGTGGCGACGTTGCAGGGGCTCCCGCGGTGCGCTTCTCGGCGAGGAGGAAGAGGTGGTCGAGGCGGATCTCCTGGGTACTTCGGGTGGCAGCGAGGAGCACGGTGGCTACGGCGAACGGCGTCGGCGACGACGAGCTCCGCTCGGGCGCGTGCAGGGAGGAAAGCAGAGGAGAGAACGGGGTCCAGGGGAAGAGAGGGGAGGTGCAGGGGGCGAGGGGAAGTGTGTGGCGTGAGGGGAAGGCTCGGGAACGACTCGGTGGAAGCAGGAGGTGGCCGAGGCGGCATCGGCGCTCGCCACCGAGCTGCTTCGGTGCGAGGGGAGGAAGATGACAAGGGGGAGGAGGTGGGCTGGGCCGGCTGGATGGAGCTGGGCCAGCTCTGGTGGGCTGCACGGTGAGGCCAGGTAAGCTCTGTTCTTTTTATTTTTTTCTGTTCTGTTTGTTTTATTTAATATCTTTTGCCACTGTTTTCAAATCCAAAATAATTTCATACAGTGCCAAAACATTCTGAAATATTTTATGTTACCTCTCTGGACTATTCCAAAAGTACATAAAACATTTCAAAGCATTTGAAAATATATTCATTATATATTATGAATATATCCCCAAATTCAAATAGATTATTGATTTAAATTCAGAGACCAAATAATTCCTTAAAAATATTCCAGAATTTTGGTTTGATATATAACTCTTGCCAAAATTCACAAAACTATTTTTAGGGCATTTTGGATTCA